GTATATATACATGTATATATACAAGAATAATGTAAACACTTAAACGAGAAGCAAATGCATGCGTCTAAACACCAATTCAACCATATGATCCTTGACGTAAACTCGATACAATAATTAATAGCATGTCTTACCTGTATGATTCGAGATTTGAAATTGAAATGTATACATAAAAAACAATATCAGAAATAAGTGATCATATCCTCGACTACTATATATTATTATTAGTTTCTAGGAAAAATAAACATGTTTCCGCCTTTTTATATACTAATCCTTGTTGGAACTTGCACTTAATTATTGTATTGATTTGCATGACACGAAACCTTACCAACTTCCAAGATTGTTAATTACTAGCCTTTATAAGATGTAAATACGTAACAAATTTCACTTATATAGAATGATTTTTTTTTTTATAAACATTCAAAATTAAGTGTATCATCAATCATCAGTTATTTTAATTTGGAAACAATGGCAAGCGATAAGCACATGTTATCGGCAACAGTGAATTTGTCCTCTTAACGCATGCACGTTTAGAAACCTAGTTAGTTCATATTTGGCACACGTATACATGCGCATGCCTATTTACACATATATATATACACAGATAAATATTAAGCTGATACAAGAACACACAGACACGTACGAGCCCTAGCCCTTCTTCATACCCACTTATTTGCCTACTTGCGGTGCGATCGCATTAATGTTCAAGTTTCTGACCGAACATCAAACAAAATTCGAAGGGTTACGTTCCATAATCAGCGAGACATATAAACAAGTATTGCGTGTACGTGTATGCAAATGTGTGTGTATATATATATGTACGTACATATATGTTTTGTGGGGTAACGTGTAAGAACCCAAACAGGAAGCGAAAAGAGAGCACTTGATGTTCTTGTCGAGATCCAGAGTGGCACATGCAAAGCTTAAATGATGGTGGTGCCCGAACAAAATAAAAAGGCTGACACTATATAATATATATACCCTTATAAGTCCCTCATCCCTCTCCTCTCCTGTTGTTTCCTTGTTGTACCATTCGTCCCTCTCTCTCTCTCTCTCTCTCTCTGCGTCAATACATACTCATCTACACATGCGTACGTATAAGTATACCAATATGCATTTTAATGTGATATATATATGTGTGTGTGTGTATACATATGCATGTACACATGTGTATACATGAAAAGAAAGGAAATATTTGAGAGGACGGTTTTCTACACTCATATGGGGGTGAATATGTAATTATTGCTATATGCACATTTCACTAACTAACATATTTCTAAGATGGTAGATTGGGATGGATTGAGATATATGCGCATGTTTATTTCGACCATGTCAATATCCTTTTGTACTTAAACGAACAGCCATTTTTTACGTTTTTTTATTCTTCTTTTGCACCAGTGATTGTAAATTTTAAAGTTACATTTTTTACCGTTTGGTAATCTTAAGATTCATTCATTTATTTATTTTTGGTAAATATTATATATATAAACAATCGTACAGAGGAGATTACCAAACGGTAATATAGATATTAGAGTTCACAATAGCAAAACAAAACAATGAATCTAAGAAGAATTAAAGTCAAATAATAAGTCATAGATGCATAAAAGTAGGGGTGTCAAAATCACCGGGCCGGGCCAGCCCGGCCCGAGCCCGACACAAGCCCGAATATTTACGGGTCGGGCCGGCCCGGCCCGAAAAACCAACGGGCCTAAAATCTTCGGCCCGGAGCCCGGCCCTATGGGCTTTTTTCGGGTTCGGGCCGGGTTTCGGGCTTAAAATTTTTTTAAAAAATTATAAACAAATTAAAATAATAAAAATACAAAAAATTTTAGTACATTTCGTGATAATTAAAAAAATAAAAAATAGATTACAAAGTTATATATTTTGATCTAATATAAATTTAAATTTAAAATTTTTTAATTTTATATGGTAATAAATTTTTAAAAATGATAATTTATTATATTTTTCATTTGGAATAAGTATTTGAAACTAATAGTATTATAATTTTGATTATATCATTTATGAAAATATTATATCCTGAATTATTTAGTATTAAACAAGTTTTTAGTTTTTAGAACTTTCTATTATTATATAATATTTGTATATTTTTTATATATGTATATACATTATAAAATATATATATATATATATATAAAAGATTGAATAAATGTATATATATGATCAAATATGTGTGAAATATATATATGTATATCTATATTTACCTATATACATATATATTTATACATATAATTTATTTTTTTAATCGGGCCTACGGGTCGGGCCGGGCCGACCCGGCCCGAACCCGTTTTTGGCCCGTAATTTTCCGGGCCGGGCCGGCCCGGCCCGAAAAACGAACGGGCCTTGATTTGTAAAGCCCAAGCCCGCAAATTTTACGGGCGGGTTCGGGCCGGGTATCGGGCCTCGGGCTATTTTGACACCCCTACATAAAAGTGATAAGTGGACAGTGTTATACGGTAAAAGTCATTACATTGCCTTTTTTCTTTCGAGTTTTCTGACCAATGTGAAATCTGTGGGATCAAGTGGGACTTTGACAACACGAGGACGTAGAATACGTTGGCCTATAGCAGTAGTAGAGGAACGCGCTCGTAAAATTCTTTGTGCTTCTGCAACTAGCTAGTTCCTCATCTGAATCAAAGCAGAATTTTGGACAAGTATTGTTTTCGCTTGGATAGATTTCGGGGTCTGGTTGATGCAGGGCCTTATTTCCAACGGACGAAGGTGATACACTTGGAGCTGACATCTCAACCGTAGAGACTGGTGCAAGAGCAGGCGACGAAATAACCTGTTTGGAAGTAGAGACCTGTTGAGGCTGATTTGCCTCTTGACGCTCGTAAAAAGATTCATTTATTTTTGCAATTGATAATATATTTTCAATGCTTCAAAAACTTTTTGTACATCATATGATTTTGCATTTTGGAAAATATATGTTTAAGAGTTGCAACATTTTTTTAACCGCTGCAAATTTTTATACAATATATAGTTACTATCCATTGCAGAATTGATATAAAAAACTGCTGCAAATGGTACGATAATTTGCGGTAAATGTTACGAAGTTCTGTTTCAATATCTGGTTACGCACTTATATATGTATCATTCTATACAGTCTCGTGAATGATGGATAGAACATGTATCAATACACACACACACATGTATATATGTACTGTATCAACTTTTCAACGCCGTAATTAATTGCATCCAAACAAGCAAAAGTGATCTTATGTAAGCAAAAGGACGTTCGTATACATGCATATATATATATATATATATATATATATATATATGACGCAGCGAGATATATAAAGGGAAAGGGACACCATATTTTCAAGGAAATTTCTAGTAAATAATAAATATATAGTGATAAAGAAAATGAAAATCCAGACCTTAGGGATTCCGTAAATATTCCATTCCAAAAATTGAAAAAGTGGTTATTCCATAGTCATTGGGCTATTTACAATTAACCGGTTCATAATTTTTCAGATGTACTAACAAGTGCATCGTCATCGAAGTCGTCTTATGGAATAATTGTTTACGAGTAAAATTTATTATTACAATTAAGTCCGGTTTGCTTCGATTTCATATGATTTAATATTTGGTTAGACGTTGAGAACCGTATAAAAATATACCCTTCACCATTTACAAGAGAAATTTCCCTCCACTCTATTTTGAATTCTCTCAATATACCGACGGAGATTAGTGATATTCACACCGACTATATAATATCAATGGGAGAACTGCTTTTTTCATCACCAATTAATGGATAAAGTAAACGGTCCATCAAAATGTGCACCAATAGAAATTTTAAAAAATGGCATGCATATACTAAGAATGTGTTACATATATGTATACGAGTATCCGCACCGGTCCATATGTGAAAACCCTGATATAGTTAAGTCCTTATTTCAATTTGATGATTAGATATGCATAGAAATAAAAGAGAGAGAAACATAGGGGTAAACCAAAAAAAAAAAAAAAAAAAAAGAGGACTAACGTGAAAGGGAAAAGAGGAAGAACAAAAACAAGAAAAGTAAATAAATTCTGATTATGCCCAGTGAGTGGGGCTACCATGTGACGGTTTCTATCACAGGAACAAAAGAAATAAAAATAAAACACACATTTTTTAAAATTAGAAAATAAAAATAAAACCCAATCTATTTGTGTCGTATAACTATTTCTTGAAATATGCAGCGGTGAAATTTACAAAACGGCAAAAAGCGTTTTAGGGTTATATATATATATATATATATATATATATTATTTTTAATTTGTAGAGCAAATGGGCTCCCTAGGGTAACATCACCTAACCCATACAAAAATAATAATAGTAGCTTTAGGGTTTTTTAAAACCCGGTCCATCATTTTACCACACGCGCTCTTACAGTGCGTGTATCTCGTGGTCCAATTTGCTGAGGTTGCGTGTATCCCACGCGTAGAGGTTGCATGTGGATATCACGCTCCTAGGGTTTCATTTTAGGACACAACCATGCACAGTGGATTGTGATGAGAACCGCACTCACTGCCACGTGGAGGAACCTCATTGCTTTCTTTCCTTTGCCAATTTATCTCGTCCCATTACCTACGTTGCGTATGCCAAGAAATTTAATTGAGAATTATTTGTTTCTTCCATGGAATGTTGCAAATAACAAAAATGTGAAATAGATTTTGGATAATTATCATAATGTGAGTTAGTCTGTTTGAAATTTTTGTAATTTACGAACTGAAATTAAATAGCTTTAATATTGGATTTTTCATAAAATTACATGTATTTATTTACATATATGTAAAAAATAGATATAAATATTTGTGTATACGGAAATAGGCAGACCAGATTGTGACATGGCATTGTCGTGTTCCACAATACACAGACTGGGTTTTCTTTTTTAAAATAATATTTTGTATTTAATTTTATTTATTATTTGTATTCTTTATTACAACAAACCCTCATTTCAAGGATAAAAGATAAAATTCCAAAAGCTCCCTTTCTCTCTCATCTTGACACTCTCTCTCTCTCTGCAATAATCTCCAGCACAAGGAAAAAAGCCCTCTTTTCTCTCCTCGCGGGACGCTAGGGTTTCTCCATACCTCGCACTCAAATTATACTCATCAGCCCACGAATCGATTTTCCAAGCTGATATTTTCTTCTTCTTTAGAAGCTTCTCCATCTGCTGATTCAGATTTCTTCGCTTGCCGTGAGGGATCGAGTTTGGGTTCATCTAAGATCTGATATTCTTCGGGTCGGATTTATCCAGGTTAGTTTTTCCTACCGCAATCTTCTGTTTCGTTCCTTGTTTCTGGAGATTGAACTTGGGCTTAGGTTGATCTGGTCGTGGGTTTTCGCTGACTTCGGCTCTCGATTGGTATTTCGCTGAGTTCACTGTTCATTGTACGTCACTTCGAATCCTCGATTCGCATTTCTTCACGGGTCTTCGATGTACGGACCGATATACGCGTATATTAATTAAGGTTTATGTCTATGTTATTATGATTTCTTGTTTATTACATGCGATTAATTAAATGGCTTGCCGTTTCACTGTTTTTTAATACGGTGCCTAATCTTGATTATAAACCCTAACAACGCATAGATTGATGTTTCATGGATTCGTGATGTGGGTTCTGGTTTTTGAAGATTATTTTGAAATGGGTGTTTTTTGGCGGTGACATTGAAGAAGGCCGCAGCTTCTGGGGCCTTATGTCTCTGAAAACCCTAATTTCAGCTCGTTAGTAATCGATCTAGTTTAAGGGTTTATCTGGAATGTTCAATGTGTGAAAGTCACCCGTACATTTAATTTTCATATGGAATATGCATGAAGTAATGGTAGTGAAGCTTTTTTGCTCTAGATTTTATGTAGACCTAGGGTTTCTGATTTTTTGTTCTCTCATGTTTCGGAACATGGAATTGTGGATTTGGATATGAATAAGAATGGCTGTTATTTTATGTGAATGGATCATCATGAAATATGGTCGATGATTATGGTATTAGAGTTACGTATATTTCTTCTTATGGTGTATATTGAATATGGAGATTCTGCTATGTAATGTCCCAGATACCGTTTCTACATGCAACATCAATGTGAATATCGCATAAAATGAAGCATTGTTGACGTTTCAGTTTCGAGCTGCCGTGAAATTTTATGTGTGACTTTTTGTAGGTCAAAGTTGCTGGGAGATGAAAGTGGAGGTGAACCGTCACTGAGGATCATCAATCTACTTCGAGCAGTTAACAAATGGGTTCCTCCATTAAGATCAATTCAATTTCCATAGATCTGGCAGGCATCCCCAATGAGGTTGACACTGGGAAATGCGAGCATTTCTCCATGCGGTAAGACTTGTTTATTTCCCGTTTGTCATTGTTGTTTCATCCTTCCTATTCAGCATTGAACATGTTGGATTTTGTTCACTAGCTTATAGTTTGCTGAATATGTATATATACATACCACATGGTGATATGTTTATGCCATATGAATATACCACCAGCTACGTTTTTCGGCAAGAGGCAGATTAAGTGACACCATCATAGTTTTCTTCTGTCTTTTTGGGTCTTAAAGTGGGTTTGTGGCTGAGATCCGTCAGAGAGACCGTGGAAAATGTTGGCCATTTTCAGCAGATAGTGCTGATTTGGAAGACCATATTAGCTATCGTCTTCCTTCTTTATCTGTTCCAAAATCTAGATGGTGGCGTTGTACTAACTGCGTCAAAGACATCAGTACCGAAGGGATGAATGGCAGTGGTAAAATGCAGTATTTTTTTTTTCATTTTTCTATACTAGCGGTCTACTTGAACTTGGTTGTGTTGTTTTCTTTAAAACTAAGATGTGAATCTGATATCAGATTGTCAACTGCATCCAAAGTCAAGAGCCCTTAGGGAGAAAAGGTTTGGTGCTAATGTGTCGATTATCCCTATTAAAAGCGATTGGAATTCTCCTATTTGCACCAATAAGAAAGAAAGGAAAGCTGATAATGCAGGTTTGAATCTACGATTTAATTTTCGTCCTTAGTGCTTGGTACTCAGTATCCTGGTTCGTATGCCTAATGTACTTTTTCAGGTAAAGTCACTGACAGGAATGAAAATGTGAATCGGGATGAAAGATGTAGGAGGGAAGATCATACAGGTAGATTTGGCAAAGCACATGCATTTTGGTCTTCTTAACTTGATGTTGTTGTTCCTTTGAAGCGGATAGAAATTTCCCAGCAGCTATGGTACTTATGATGCTACTGATATCTGCAGCTACATTGCTCAAGAAAGTTCGGCGTAGATCAGTGGATGCTACTGGTGGGAGCAAGAGCAGAAAACTTGCCAATCCAGGGAATGCCAGTAAGAAATCTAAAGAAAAGGTTAACATTTCAGTGGAAATTAATTGGAAAGAGAACCAAGAGGGTGTGAATGGTCAATTTGCGGAAGCTCTGACAACTTTTGGCTCATCTGAGATAGCTGGTGTGGTTGACGATATGCCTAAAGCAATAAAAAATCTTAAAGGTGGTCGTGTTTTGATGGAACTGGATGAATGTGGTAATGTGTCATCAGAAAGTGCAACCGTGGCCAGGAATTTTCTTGATCACAACCCTGATAACGTGACCGGTTTGCAGCGTAGGAAAACTCGAAAGGTTCGTCTGCTGAGAGAGTTATTGAGCAAATCCAGTACAAAGAGCGGTGGTAATGTTAGAAATGAAGAGTCTCCATCCAAAAAGGAATCATTCAGAGGTAGAAAAAGGAAGTCGTCTGGAGATGAAGAATGGAGACCTCCTGAGACGACGGCATCTGAAAATAATTATGCCAACAGGAAATTAAGTACGATTGGTAAAACATCTGAAAACACATCCCAAAGTTGTGAATCTGAAGGCAATGTGCTTTCTGGCATAGGCTCGCAACCAAGTGTGGAGGAGAGCCAATCCACTGACGGCGGATTTGACAAAGACCCCATTAAGGGTAAGCAGAAAAACAGAAGGTTTCAGGTGGTTGACGAGCATTTGCCAGCAGTTTCTCGGGAAAATTCACAGAAGAGTATCCAGGAAAATGATGAAGGCTCGCCTAAATGCGACCCTGGGAAGAGTAATTTCCCCAGTTCTGTTCATTCTTCATTTACAGGTAAAGCATTTGTTCCTTGTCCTCTGCATACCCGGAGAACAGAGAAAAAGCCCAGTTTAGCAAAGAAAAAATGCAAGAAGACCTTAATTGATAACAATCAGAGCACCATGATCGCTCTTGGTAACAGCTTGGTTGGAAGAAATCAAACTGAAGCAAGAAAGTCTGAAGTGTTGCAAATTAGCTCCATAAATGCAGTTTCCCAATCTATCCAAGATGTATCAAATGGGAAAGGGCTTGAACCTTCACTGGACAAAATTTTGGCTTCAGAAGGATATGTTAGAAAGTATATTTCCCACCCTGATCAAAGGCCGGGTTTTTCATTGCTTTCGCAAGACATACGTCACAGAGACAATCACGTGAGACCGAAAGAAGCAGAGACAAACCATTTTCGAGATTTCGCTTCCCCTTCTAAATCAAATGCTGATGGATACTTGAGAACCGGAGTTTACATTGATCGCAGTTGCAACGGTAATACCAATAGATTGCCTTTCCTGAACGAGAAACTAAGTCTCATGCCTTCAGCTGAAGTTGTTGATAACTCTCTTCTGATGCAAAAGGTACAAACTTTACATCTATTGTATAAAATATCAATGCAATTTAAGTTATTTGCTTTCCTTGTAGTCCCTTTTGAGCTGATCTGTTCAAGCTGTTGGGGTAGTAGATTAGACCGTAATTGCATAATGCAGTTCTCCAGTGAATTTCTTCCATCGCCGTGCTTTTCTATGCTATTTTCCAGGATTGCAGGCAGCAACCTTCTACAGATTTTTTCCCATTCGGTTGATAGATATGATTCTCCTTGAATATAAAATTGCTTCCTTTTCTCTTTCTATGTCACTGGCAGGGCAGAAGTCTTCTCTGTTTCTTGTTGCCCCAAATTTCTTACCCTATTTCAATGAAGCGAAACGATTCTGTAGTGTTACTTCATGTGATTCTTAGAGGCAAACAGAATTTAAACTTTGGAAGGTGCTATAAATCTGTGTGTCATATAGTCTACACAGTTTTTTCCAGAAATGGTTGATCCAAGTTTTTATGTAGTTCAGTTAAGAATGGTTTTATGAATGAAACTAGCCCATACCTTTCTAGTTCACACATTTTTATGTCTGTTTCGAAGTGAAGTGATTCACCTGTTCGGTCATTTAGTAATGGGATTGCTTTACGTGTCAGGATATTTCTGGTGCATACAGCAAAGGGAAGGGAGTTCTTATCCAAAGCGATCCGAGAAAGGAGAAGACACCAGAGCATATAGATGATATCCCAATGGAAATAGTTGAGCTCATGGCTAAAAACCAATACGAGAGGTGTCTGCCTGACAAAGATGAAGTCACCGATAAGAACAGCAAACAGCCGTCTCAAACAACGACAAGCACATCGAAGAGTGGATTGCTGATTGATCTCAATAAGACCTATGAAAATGGAGCCTCGCTGGAGGATAACACATATAGACAACAAAATCCCCATGGTCAGAATGTGAGGAAGGATGATGCGACTAAAGGAGAACATTTTGCCGCTGAGAAGCCGCATTCTGTGGACTTTTCCCCAAGAAGTCAGTTTGGTCACCCTTATGTGCCTTCCGGGTTGGGGATGTTTCCTCTTATGCGAGAGAAGCCATCGGGCTCCATTCAGTTTTCTAGTTCAGGATCTAGTGGGCAGAGCATTCACAGTTGCCAGTGGCTGAGGAATGTGCCGACTGTGGCTAGTCAGAGCCCATCGCCTTCCCTGTTCAGTGGGGCATTATGTCCACGTAACACATGCCAGAGTGTTCAGCCATATAGAGAAGCTTCTCATCCTATCTGGCCGTCTTCTATGGTACCACAGAATCAAATGCCGGTTTCTATCAACATTCCTCGTAAGTTTATGGATCAGTCGACCAAGCGGGATATTCTTTCACAGGGCTCGAACAACGATATGAACTCGTGGAACCTTAACTTTCTTGATAACGGAAAGCAAAAACGGGGGTTTGATTCTGAGTTCTCATTTGGTTGCAAACATGGTGGTGTTGGTAGCAGATCCTTAGACCCATATACTAATGAGAGCAGTATACCGGCAATGCACCTACTCAGCCTTATGGATCCTCGGCTAAGGTCAAATACTCCCGTTGACCTCCTTGGAAACCCTAAACTCCCGAAAAGACCTTTTCTGCAAGGTCACCAGTCCAAGGAATATCTGGGTCTCCAACCAATGGAAAGTAGTAAGACACCCAACTCAACAAAACAGTTGGCATTTGATTTTTACGGCAAAAGATCGGCAGGTGAGACCTCCCGAGAAAACTTTCCTGTCATTTCAGCAGTTGGCACATCTTCATTATCATTTCAAAGTGATAAGAGTTTCGCCAAAGGTGTTGATTTTGCAGTCCAAGCTTCGTGGAATTATCCAGAAAAGAGAGTCAAGACAAAAGACGGCATTTCACCAAATCAGAATAATCGTCAAAAGTCCATCTTTACAAGCAGCTGTGACCCAGGAAATTTCCAGATTCTCGGCGCATCAGATTCTATGATGCTCCCGTTGAAATTCCACACGACGGACTATGCCAAGAAAAACAAGGCAAAAGCACAGAGCTGCAATGCCTCTGCATTGCCCATGAAGAGCAATGGTGGGACTACTATTATGTGCAGTATGAATAGAAACCCAGCTGACTTCACCATTCCTGAACCTGGCAACATTTACATGAGAAGGGGCGAAGATCTAAAGTTCAGAAAACGTGGAAGTTACAAGAAGAAACCGAGCTTGTGTAAACATAATGAATTGAAGCAAAACAAGACGACCGTTGGCCCGGCTGCAAGTTAGGAGTATGCAGGTAAGACGCCAAAATGCCCTTTTTGTCACTGTCTAGTTTTCTTAGTTTTTCCCTCAAATATATTACCCTACAAAAATTGGCTTTCACTACATTTCAGTACCCGAAACAGAACCTCTAGTTTCTTCCCCAAATTCTTTGCTCTCGGGAATATGATCTCTTTCAGATTCAGAGTGCTGGAACAGATATTGTCAAACGTGTACTTGGTTCATCCTCCAATCTATTATTCCCGACAGAGCTCGTTTTTCTACATATTGAGTGTTGAAACAGATAGTGTCCGGCTTAACTTGTGTTATTGCTAAACTTCCAACAAAAGCTGGGTTTTTCTGAAACAGATACTGTTTCGCTAAAACTGAACATCGTCAAGAAGATTAGACGAGTAGCGGATGAAGAAGAGGCGTTTTCCGCCATTAACAGACAGAGAGGCATGTAGATACAAGGGGAAGAAGCACCCGAACCCAGTTACCCCACACCCTTGCTCTGGTTGGAAAAACATCGGGAAGAAGGAGGCTAGTAAGAGAACGGTAAGAGCTTTCCTCTTCCTGTTCTTGACTTTGGTTTCTTGTCGTGTTTACAGTTTTAGAAGTTTGAATGGTTTGTTTGTTGTTTTGTCTTTGTCCAATGATACATGCTTGACGTATGCATTTGCATCTTGAGAGAAGTTGTTTGTTGTCCAGACCTCTCCCCGCAGGTTTTGAGAAACACTGCAAAGTGTACTTCTACGAACAAATAAAAAAAAAAATTAAAACCTTTGTGTCAGTCTTTTACACTTTGGGAACTCGGCAACTTGCTGAAATTGGTTTGCTTCATTGTTCTCTGTATATCTTGTACTATTGTTCCCATATCGTGGTTTGGGTTTTGTGTATTTCAACTGAGGCCCAAATGTGGCCCAATCACAGGGATTTTGCCCAATTGTTGTTTATAGGGGCCCAAACCGAATTGATTACGGTTCTTCTGATTGTGGCAGTTTCGTAATTAACCGTGATTTCGATATCTCTCCTCATTATTGGTGGTTTTCAATCTTTTAATGAACACAAAACTTAACAAACCAACACTTGAGGCCTCAGCGAAATGGCAACGTTCAGGAGCTGACGCGGCAACCTCACGGGGTTGGCTCCTAATTCAAGACACAGCCTCTCTCTTGCATTAACGCAATAAGAAACTTGTCAAAAGCCAACGCGTCGTCTACTCTTTGTTCTTTTTTTCTTTTCAAAATAGCAATAATAATATGGGAGCAATAAAAAGGAATAATGACAAGGGGTTTATTGCAAAAGGCTCCTAATTCTATACCTTGTTTTTTGTTTGTTAACTCTGAACAAAAGATGGTTGGTTTGGTTTTGTCTGACTTACATTTGGGGTATGGAATCATCTCCATCTGAGGCGGAGTTCCTTATTCTCGGACAATACCCATGTAATGTAAATGACCGCGACCAGTTCTACGATCGTTATCAGGAGGAGGGCGCAGCTGAAATTGTCGGTGAGCGAATCGTACGTCGCGGAAAGCGTGAGCCGAGTGTAGAAGAGGTCCACTCCAAACGCAAATACGTGCATCATCGACTCTAGTTTGTCAGTTGCAGTTACTATCCTTCTTAGCCCTTCTACTCCCGGTGAATGCGTGATGTATGCCTATGAGTTTTGGTCATGTTTTTTTTTTCAGGTTATGTTTCGATTCGATTCGATTGAAATTCTCGCGGAGTCGAAAGATTGAAGGTGTGAAACCTGAAGAAAGATGGATAGGGAATCCGTGAGAGCGATGGTTTCTTTTTCCTTCTCCGCTTGCGAGGGGTTTAGTGTCCTTCAAGGATCGACAAAGCGTTTATCGAGCACCAATACCTGAGAAATCATCGAACAAGTTTTCGTTATAAAGTTTGCAGGCATCGGCTTTTTCAGCAAATATATACTAATGAACTGACCCGATCCCCGATGGTATCGACGAGAAGCTGTTTCCAATACATATATTATACTACTTCCAGGAGGTTGAAGAACATGTTGGACTTCAAATCTTCAGGGAACATCACAAAGTGCATTAAAGAAATTATTAGATGTCCATTGCAAATAAAGAACCTTTTATATCAAGGCAACAATGATAGTTTAAAATTCATTTAAACTCATCTAAATCATGACTTTCAATATGCAACACTTTAACATATAAGATCATGAATGCGGAAATAAAATTCTGAATCGAAAAACATACATCCAGCCATTGAATATTGTTGAGTTTAAATCTGAATTCTTCTAAGCTATAGCAATCACAAACGATGGTGTATTTGTTCTATCTATTGCTTAGCCTAGGGATCCAAATTTATGACATTTTAATAGTTTTTTCCCCGTCAGAAAAAACTGATATTTGGCAGTTAACATTGAGTAAATATTGGACCACTAATCAGTAACGTGGGAGTTTTCCAATATGAACAGTTATAGAAAAATTTTCAACATTCTCCCACTTGGTCCGTACGTTACTCTTAATATGTTAATTATTGATCATCTTTATAAAAAGCATGATACATGAATCATGGCGATAAATTCTCTTAGTACGAGTATTATCTTCCATGTATTACAATATATCATGTGTCTTTAAACTTTATATGATAACATTACTTAATGAATAAGCCTTATGCTTATTCTAGGTCTAAATAAGTGAGTCTTTTCAATATCAATTATAGTGTACACTTTATCATATAAAAGATACTCACAATTGAATAAGAGTTTCGTTAGTACATAAACGTACGTACAAATAAAATAATCACATCATGGAACCAAATCTCATACTCACAACATGATCCCTGAAATTCTTAATTGGCATGCCTTTAGTCAGAGGATCGACAATCATCAATTCAATGCTAATGTGTTCAATGATCATTTTCTTTTCCGCAACACGTTCTCTTATGGCTAAGTACTTGATGTCGATATGTTTACTCCGACTTCCACTCTTATTGTTCTTAGCCATGAAGACAGCAGCTGAATTATCACAATATAATCTCAATGGTCTAGCAATATAATCCATAATTCTAAGCCCGGAGATGAAACTCTTCAACCATACACCATGCGACGGTGCCTCGAAACATGAAACGAACTCAGCTTCCATAGTTGAAGTAGCGGTTAATGTCTGAAAGATAAAAGAGTTTAAAATGACTAAGTAAGTGGAGAATGAGAAAATGTTTTGATATTGTTTTAAGGTGTGTCATGTTGTTTTTCTAAAAGGGTTAATTATGTCTCTTGATCCTTTTAGTTTTTTTTTAACTCTAAGGGTTTTGAAGGGTAATACGAGAAATTTATGTAGCATAATAAAGCTCTTTTGCTATATTGCCTGCCGAAACGAAAAACAATTTTTTTTTTACCGAAAATAAAGAGTTTTACGATCTCAAAATAGATCGTTGAAGTAATTATTGATAAAATTACAACAATTTAAAAACAATTAATTCATGGTCACACTTACGCTTGGTCAATACGATATTTATTTCACATAAAAACAAATTGAATCAAATAATGTATATCAATACTCTACAATCCAATCTAAATAATACAAAATAAATATTTATAGAAGAAAAAAAAAACCCCGAAAATTATAAAAGAGCGCGCTTCTGTTTTCACAACTGAAGGGAGATTACATTTTCATGGAGAGTTTTTTAAGATGTATATTCAGATTCATCATACGTTTGGTTTGTTTATGGTAAAGATAGGGATGTTGATAATATGTCAAAGGAGACACAAGAGAGATGTGAGGGAGCATTGGTGCTTGAATTGGGTGTTGCCGGTTTAGTGAACACGGTTAAGGTCTTGTGAATTATGATAAATTCTGGCCGGGAAGGTGAACCAGGTCGGGGAGAATAAATAATTTTCAAGTTTGAGAAGGTAATTTATGTCAAAAACAATCTAAAAATATTAAAAGAAAACAAACGGGAAACAAGTCGATATGTCCGAGTGGTTAAGGAGACAGACTCGAAATCTGTTGGGCTTTGCCTGCGCAGGTTCGAATCCTGCTGTCGACGTTTCTCTTTTCCATTTCTCTTTAAATGAAAATTGATTTCTTTCTCTCTTTCTTTATTTATCCTTTTGTAAATATTGTGACAAAAAAAAAAAAACGAATCCATGGTCATTATTTAATATGAATGCTACGAGTCAAATCAAACAACTTCAAAATCTTATATATATGGCTGTCTGAATTCTTTTATTGGTATGCGAACGAAAGGGACTAGGCTAGTCGTGTCATTCAGTATACACGCATGTATATGTATACACACACATGACACATGTTTTTTTTTGTATATTAAATATATATATATATATATGTACATATAACATTGTCACATATTAATCCTTTCTTCCTCTTCCTCGTCTTCACCTTTGCACTTCCCATAAGCTCGACTACAGTGAACAAAATACAAAACGTTGATCACACAAAGACCCGATATAACCCAATAGTAGTAGTCCAAGTGTCCACTGTTGATGTCGCCGGAGACCCAGCTCCCTCCGCGGCCGTCTCCGGTGAGGGAGTCTACGGCGGAGACGAACCATCCGGAGATGAGACTCGCCGCCGCCATGCTGAGGCCGAAGAGAGTGGTGGCGATGCTGGACATCGTCTTCGGAAGCTCCCCGTAGAAGAACTCGTTCTGAGCTATGGCGTTCAGAGCCTCCGCCACTCCGGACAGGACCATGTACGGAAGCAGCCACGTCGCCGACATCTCCTTACAGTCGTCGGTCTTGTCCGGACAATGCTAGGGAAATGAGAAGAATAAAAAAACGTGACCTTGAACTCTTGAGTGGCTAGATATATAGTCGAGAGCTTTTATGTGAATTGAACGTTTTATGTCCGCGATTTTGATGGATAGATGTTAATTACATTTGGCATTAAGAGAAAGAGAGAGGAAATACTTAAAACTTGGAAAGATAACACACATAATTACCCTAATGCTAGATGATATATATACATGTATATTTACAATGACATTCCTACTATATTAAAGTTTTCCAGTAACGATTAAGGTTTAAATCCCACTAGATCAACCTATAATCCAAGTTTGATTAAGCTTTGCGGCCTATTTTTTTTTTTTTTTGATAATCCGGAAGTTCACCGGGCCTTTGACCCGACTACATCTCCCAGAGGATCGGGAAAGCCCAGGTGAATGCTCATTCTCACGTTTGGGTTTGAACCCAGGGTGAGAGCGTGTTTTACATGTTCTCTCACCGTTATGCCACCCAAACTTGGGTTACGCTTAACTGCGGATTTCGGATGGGATACGGTGCCTAAATATATATGTTACATGAATACTATTGATCATTAGATAAACTATTTGTAGAGTTAACTAGTATATATTTTCCGGGCGACATAATACGGTTTATATATATATATAGTATCAAATATAAATTTAGATCATATATATGAAGTGAAGTATGTACCTTTGTTTTCCTCCTAAAGTACTCCACGGTCGCCAAAGCCGCCATGGACATAACAGAGATCACGAGTCCAGTCCCCATTCTCTGCATCAGTCCCAACCGAAACGGCTTTCTCCGAATCCTCGACCCTATCGGAACGATAACACGGTCATAGATAGCGAGAAAAATAACGAACGATATGATCATGAAGACACCGTAGGATCCGGCCGGGATTTGGAACCCAGGGATGGCGGTTTGACGGTCCATGGACTTGGCTTGGAGAACGACGAAAGAGCCTTGAGAAGTGGTCATGCATAGAGCGATGCCTGTGGACCATACGGGCAGAACTCGGACGAGAGATTTGAGATCTTCCACTTGTTGAACGGTGCAGAGGTTCCATGGATTACGTGGTATTCCCGTTAGGGTTAGATCTTGTTGGGGGTTACTTAAGACGCAAGCTTTGTTCAAGAACCTAGACATAGAAAGAGAGAGGGGGATGAAATATGAAAGGTTGACGCATGTACACTTGCAGATGTGTGTATATATATCAACAAATATATGCACCTGTATGCGTACATATACGTAGACATACATATACAGACATAAGCCAGTGTGTGTATGCATGTGCATAAAGCTACTGATTATACGACTGCATGCACACGCGCATTGACATTCTAAACGTAACTTAACTTAAGCATACGAGCTTGTAGGCATGAGTCAATACATTTCAGTACTTGCATTATACGTATATGCACATATATATATATATATATATAGATGTAGATGTATATACCTCAATTTGTCGCTTGGGATCAATAGAGAAGAACCCTTTTGGTGATGATAAGATATTCGATTCTCGGACGCTAAATCGATACGTCGACGGTTTCTGAAAGCAGAGACGACAACCTGAGCAAGTCCGGCGACCAAACCGGAATCACCCTTCGCCTTAACATAAAACGGCGAAGCCGCAAAGAACAAAACGACGGACAAAGCCATCATCGCCACGGGGACTCCGAACCCTACTTTCCAACCGAAACTCGTCTGAATGTAGACAAGACATGTCTGGGAGATGAAGGAGGCGACCATGATGGAGATGTAGTACCAGTTGAAGAGGCTTTCTAGAGCTGACCTGGCAATGCTGCCGCCGGCGGAGATCTTGTCTCTGTCGTCCTCGGCGGCGGGTTTGAGCTGGTCGGCGGCGAAGGCTAGGCAGGAGGATCTGATTCCCCCGGCGCCGACGGCGGTGAGGGCAAAAGAGGAATAAAGGAGAAAAAGTTGATCCGGTGTTGTGGATTGGCATGTTGGCGTGGTGGATTTGTCGCATTGTGGTCTTGCTTGCGGAAATAATGTGGTTGACCATAATAAAAGCATACCCTGTAAAATAAATATCTTTTAAAATATAATAGAACTGTGTGCGCAAAAAAAAAAAAAAGATAGTGTAAATGTTATTCATATATGTGTACACATATTGGACCACCCAATTACAAAACTTTATCACGTGGAAATTAATATTAAAGAATATCCTTATAAATATCCATAATATCATATTCCAGAAATGCTTCCACCAGACAAAATAAAAATAATTGAGAAATACGAATAAACCATTGGCAACTGGCAAGACATATTTAGGAAAATTGTTGAAATGTAAGCAAACATTAATTTCCCTTTTACATAATATTGATGATAACGTACAATATAAATTATTTTTTATTAATCACCAAATCAAAATTCATATAGATCGTACTAATTAATGGCGTGTTTCCCTTTTATAATGCGAGTTTGTTTTTGGCGAGCTAGGAAAAAAATATGTTCAATGTTGTTATATATCCACGCAGCTTTCACTAAAATTAATTTTAATTAATTAAATTTATTCATATAAATTTAATGAAAATATTAAATATATAGATGAGTATTTTAATAAAATAAAACCAATATTTTTTATTTTTCTCGTTTATTATTAATATTCAATAATAAATTTTCTAGATTAACGTAAACAAGATGGTTTGGTTAAATCTTTGGTATCATTTTTTTTTTTTTTGGATTTGGCTCCATCCGATTCATTTTTAAACGAGTGAGGAAACAACACTTGGACCTGACTCCTGAACCAAACGAACCCACTTGATAATAACCAGATAAAAAATAATAAATTAATTAAAAAAATCTAAAAAAATTCCGACACGCGAGCTAGCTCGTTGATCGATCTAACCCGCCGCTTACGACGGAAAAAACGAGTCAGCTGAACCCCGACTCGGTTTTATAAAAATGAGCCGGTTGTGAGTTCTGACTCGCTTCACGCCCCTAAATGAAACCAATGTTTACAGAGATATATAGAGAGAGTTTTTAAAAATACCAAGAGGCTAATGGAGGAGCCGAGGCCGACGACGAGAAAGCGACCGGAGTAACAATCAGAGAGGAAAGCGCCGAGGAGAGGGAAGAAGTTGGTGGCGGCCGACCAGAGGAAGAGAGCGTTGGCCGCCTCCGCCGCCCCCATTCCGTACTCCCTCGTCATGTACACTATCATGTTCGGTATCACCCCGTAATACGCCACTTTCTCCAATGCCTGATTCCCTGTTTTTGTCCAACCAAAAACAAAATGTCATTTAATTAATCATGTTTACATTTTATCTGATATAAAACTAGTAATTATGATTTTTTTAAAAATGAATCTACAAATGAAAAAGGAATATATTGAATTGTGGAATCCAATATAGTTTTAGGGCATGGAAATTGTATAAAAATAAAACAATGTGTTCTATTTAATCAAAATACAACACAAACAAAAAACTCCTGAGATCCAATATAGAAAATATCACTATATATATATCTATAAGACTTTGTGTGATATGTATATATGTATATAAAGGGTACGTGTAGATACAAAATAAGAGCACGTACCTAAAATGAAAGGAATGGTCCGAAAGCCACCTTTCGGTGGCCGGAGACGGCGGAGAGGAGCTTTTCCGGCGAGAAGAGCCTCTTCCATATGTATGCCTTCAATCTTCGATTCCTCCTTCTCCGTTTGTTGTTTTTGTTTATTAATCGACTTTAATTTCTAGTTGTGGCATTCCTATTTATATGGTGATCATGTTGAGCATTTATTCTCTCTCTTTCTTTTTCCTTTTTTAGGGTTTTAGAAGCAGTGACGTTTTGGATTATTATATCTTCGTACATAAATTTATTGAGATATATAACACTAAAAACAACAATCAACAATGATGCCGGTGTTTAATATTCACAACTGTTCCTTTATTTAATTAATTAAATTAAATTAAATATAGAGAAAGAGACCGAGAGAGAGAGAGAGAGAGAGAGAGAGGTCGTCTTGCCCTTATTGTTTTGTTTCGTTTCGATGCAAGAATCTTTGGAGGGGAAACTAAAGAATATTGTACGCTTTGCTCTACTATGCAATCATGGACATACTTAATTATCATATTCTATGGTTTTTTTTGTGTAATTATAAGTTAATTAACAATTTTTTTGTATTGTATCCATATATCTTGATAAAGCTTCTCATTTCTCCATTAAATAAGTACAAGATAAATAGAAAGCAGAAATAATGATGATGGTGATGATGATGATGATGATGTTGAGCAGTAGTTTTGACCTAGTAAATAGATAACTAAGTAAAAGAAAAATATCTTCTTCTCCAAAGCACGTAGTTACTATTTATCTCACATTCACTTTGATTTTTTTTTTTTGTCTTCAAAAATAATTATTTTCAGACATAAAAATATTTTTTTTTTCAAAAATATCCTCTTAATAAATGCGTATTTGATCATTTCATCTTAGTTCAGGTCGGTCCAAAGAAATGCGTGACATAAGATTAGAATAATGCGACTAAAACAAATACCAAAAATCTTTTCAGGACCACAAATCAACAAATGTCACACACTTATTTCTTATTTATATATTGGCGACTTTTTCAATATTGGATTGGAAAATCGTTACTCGTCGTCATCCCTCAGAATTTTTTAATTCTATGGAAAAAAATTATAATATGATTTCCGGTTACCTTCTGCACAAATATGTTGTTTTATTTGTCATGGAAGATAACGTGGTTTAATTCGGTTATTTAAAATCAAACCGAATTTAATAAATATAAAATTATATACGAATAAACTATAAATGTATATATTTAGAATAAAATAAATTGAAAGAAATTGTGGAATGAATGTTATTTTATTAAGATTTTGAATCCTGATAATTCTATAGAATCTAAATCAAACCAAATATTAAAAAATGAATAGTTCTAATATTTATAAAATAAAAAATTGGATTAAAAGATAATCCAATAGAAAAACAATCAAAAAGTAAAACATCACCCTAAACGGAAACTAACCTCTTTTTTCATTATGTTATACACCGATTTGGGAAAAAAAAAAAAGGTGTGTGGATCATAAATCTATATTTGTAGAAGGCCCATAGGCCCAATACTCGGCCCATTAAAAAGCCTCAGAGAATTTGCGTTCTGATTAAACGCACTTAAAAATCGTGATGCTCAGAGATCTAACCGAATACCTCAATCACTGATCTTCATTTCCAAGGTAATTGGAATCTCCATTGTTATATATATATATAATATCAGTTAATATTTCACTACCCGTAGTTTTAATACATGTATATATATAATCTATAGAAACTTTAAAAATATTTAATAACCGTATGAAATTTTGGACCGACGGCTCTTCAAAGCTCTTGGTAATTAGTGATAAGATAGTTTCGTATTGTAGTAGTACGTCTAGGTGGAATACTTTATTTATACTATATGAAAGCTACATACCGTATTTATACTATGGTCGACCGTATAAAAACTCTCACATATCTAATACAAAAAAACGATTTCCAACATATAAAGGCCATCACATATCATATCAATAAAAAAAAGGTCGTTATAATAGTCGTTAGAATTCCGTTGATCTTCATTGGAATTCGCTTGTTTATTTTTCTTTGGTAGTGTATAAGTACGTAAAAAAATCAGGTATAAAAGAAAAATACTACAAATTCGATAGAGCATGACAAGTTTGACAAATCGATATATTTCGCGATATAAAATTAATTGGCCTCCATTTAATGGGAAAAAAGGGGAACAATTGGATTTTATCTTTTATTTCATGAGATTCGACACTGAATTATATGTCTAATTTGGATAGTTCAACCGGTGAAAAGAGATGCAAAGCGTTCGTTCCGTCTCGAATTCGAGCTTTAAGTTTGGGAGAAAAATGTAATTTTAATCACGTGATTTGCTCTCTGTTCCGGAATTAGTTTGGATTTCGATCCAAGATATCGATTACCCAAAAAAACCTAGAATTAGATGGATATTACATTTTTTTTTTTATGTGTAGAATAGGTCCAATTATACTTGCGTCGTTCTAGAACATTTGTATGCTTCCGTCACCCCTTGCGTAAGCAGACCTTGCGTTCCTTTTTATTTCTTTACAACATTTGTTATAAAAAAAATCGATAAAATAAAATAAAATGTTGCAAGCCGCCGAAAAATGAAAAAAAAGGATGTGGTCCGAAATAACATAGAAGTTATTAGTAAATTACGGAAGAAACTTAAAATTAAAAATAATTCGGAATCATTGAGAGCAAAAATGGGTGTTCTATTCACGGATTCATAAATAGTGAGAATATATTATAGTGTGAACGCATATAGCAACACATGTATAGAATCAATATCATGTATATGTACACGAAACACATACATATATGTATATATGTATGTATATATACATGCATGCACACGTACGCTGCAGGTACATAAATTCTTAGTCATTGTTCATATATAAATCTCATTTATTTAATTTTTTTTTATAAAAATAATGGGTCCGTCGAAGGGCGTGTATATCCCAAGTGAAGCTTCTTAGTAACTACATGCTTGTGGAAAAAACAGCACACTTATGTAATGTCGACTCCACACACAGGCGTACACACACAACGAACCGTACGATTTAAATTTTGTTTATATATAATAACCAATCTATATATAGACGTCCATCAATTCTCGAATTCGCGTAACGATACTACACAAATTATACACGTACCCAATATAAACCATAATGGACCGACAACTTCAAGAAACCATAATCAAAGGAGACACCGAAGCCTTCCTCTCACTCCTCCACCAACATCCGCCGGAGATCATCGCCGCCGCCGCCGCCCCTCCCTCCGGGAACACAGTCCTCCACGTGGCAGCGCGTCTCGGCCATGTTGCCCTCGCGGCGGAGATCCTCCGTGTGTTCCCGGAGATGGCGACGGCGGAGAACCACCTGCTCGAGACGCCGTTTCATACGGCGGCGCGTGAGGGGCACGCGGAGTTGGTGAGGCTCCTAGCGGAGGCGGATCCCGACACGGTGGTTAAGGTAAACGGGTACGGGGAGAGTGCGGTGTTCATGGCGGCGGATAGAGGGAGGGTGGAGGTGGTTCGGTGGTTGTTGGGGCTCTGGCCATGGCTGTTGACTTTGGAGGTCGACGCGTTGACTTCGACCACGTCTACTACCACCTCTCTTCATGTTGCTGCTTCCAATGGGCATATCGGTAATTTCTCTTTGGTGCTTTTTCTCTTTCATTCGCATGGATTCACCATTTAACGTAGAAATTAGAATAGTTAGGGAAAATAATTTCGGTTTAGATTACGAAAACTTTCAATTTTTTAGAATTAAACCGATGAAAATAATTTCGGTTTAGATTACGAAAACCGATTACGCTGACGTGGCAGACAATATGTAAGCTGACTAGAATTTCCGAATGCCACCTCAGCAGTCAATCGCCGGAAACTGTTAGCGTCGTCAAATACCGCGTTGTTATTTGGGAAACAGAAATTGAGTATAAAATTTAATTTGGAAGTGAAGACTAGTTGTGTATTTATTTTAAATTTTTAAAATTTGTGTATTAATGCGGAATTTGATAACGAGTTTGTGTATATTTTTAAGCGTTTTTCCCGAATATTTATACGGCCGTAAAAACTATCATTTTAAAATTTTAAGTTTCTGAATATTAATTTTTAAAATATATTTTTTGAAGTTTTTCCAACATTATACGTCATTGTCTAATAGTTTAAAGTATGCCTTAGATATGTCATATTCATATACATATAGAAAATATATACGTGCTTGTTTATTTTTTACAATCGTATAACTAATTGTGGTTGCTATCTTATTATTAAAAACTAATATTTTTATTCTAACAAAAAGACATTTTTCCGAATTACATTTGTATTTTAAATATTTATGATTCAAATTTTTATGATATATTTCTTTTGTACATTTTCGCATTAATTACTACTTTCCAAATATATAATTCTGCTCGTAAATATATAAATATATAAATTTTTATTTTTTGTAAATGAAAACACGTTAATGCCTTCTGAGTAATCATTTTCCTAATTTCATTTAGATTGAAATTTCAACGAAATATTATTTATATATATATATATAAAGAATTTTCACTGAAAATACGGTCAGGCCCATAAACTCTAATTAATGCAAAAAAGTGATGTGGCCCTACTTTAGACTTGTTGTCGCTGCACTCCTCTTGTTCTCCGTTCCCACATTATAATTATTTTTTTCAGAAAAAATCATAAAAATATATGATGACACGAATAGTATATGAAATGTAAAAAATACACAAAATTACCAAAAATCTTTAACAAATGCATAAAATCTGTTTTTCATATCAATTGTTTTATATAAATAAATAAAAATTTAAAATTATTTCAAATTTTCATTCATATAACAATAACATAAACATATGAAATTTTTACTGGAATTTCAAAAATTATACAGATATGATATCTAAAAATTTAAAATATTGTATATGGATAAATAACATATTCCGATATCTAAACTCGAATTTTACATAAAAAAAGTTAGTATAAATTTTAATATCTATCAGTGATATTTTATATTTTTCAACAAAATGTAAAGATAATTTTATAATTTTTAATAAATATCGTATACAATTTTGGCTCACTTGGGAATTACACAACATTTCTATTTTTATTTTATAAAAAATAAATAGAAATGGTAAATATTGTATGCAATTTTATGATAGTATTTGTACTACTCTTATCATCCAAATTCGGATTCTAAGAAAAATTAGCATTAATGTGTTTAGATATTTGATTATGAGATCGAAATAATACGATAAGTATAAATTGAATAATTTTATCGACATTTGATAGATATTTTAGTTGTGACTAATCCCCAATATTTGCAATATACTATATTATTCCCATTGTTTAATAGTTTTATTATTTTTGCTAAAACCGGATAATATTAAAAAATCATTGTGTAAAATCCTAAATAATTAATGCATTTATATAAAAAAAATATGTATTGATTAAAATTGGTTTACAATTTTATATAACAATTATTTTATTATATTTTCTAAAAAATAACATTACTGTATTATACATTCACCCACACATATTAAAATGATTAAGAACACACAATCACACAAACATCTGTTCGGAGTCACCAATCTTTTTCCAAGACCGACGGTCGTGTTGCATGCATTTAGTTTATAACTATCAAATAATAATAATAATAATATTAATAATAATAAATCTAAACATATTTTGTATTTCCTTGTGAAAACCGAAACAGAAGTGGTGAAAGAGATCATAGAAATCAGACCAGACTTTGCCCACAAAAAGGACAAGAACGGGTTCACACCATTGCACTTGTCCTGCAGCAAGGGTCATCTCGAGATCACGAGAGAGCTTCTGCGGCTAGATTCCGACCTCTCCACCGTACAAGACGACCAAGGCCGTACGCCTCTACACTGGGCAGCCGTAAAAGGCCGAGTCGCCATCCTCGACGAGATCTTGTCGGCCAGTCTCGAGTCCACGGCCATCAGAACTTACAACGGAGAGACCGTGCTTCACCTCGGCGTGAAGAACAACCAGTACGAGGCTGTCAAGTATCTGGTCGAGAAGATTGACGTCACCCCTCTTATGAACCTTCAGGACAACGACGGGAACACCGTCTTGCATCTTGCAACCGTCGCTAAGCTAAACACTGTGAGTTAGTGCAAACGAAAACCTTTTATCTTTCGAAATGAAAATTAGGGGAATACTCGAGGTTCAGCCATTTGGATATCTAACATTTTAGTTGCTCGTCCATTTGACATGACAAATATAAGTTTGTTAGCTGGCGAGAATCCGACTCTCTTGCTTGAGTTCGGGTTTTGGTCGGAAATTTGCTTTGTGTTCTGCGGGTACCCGAAGCAGCGCGGGAGAGGGGAAAGACGTCAAACGAGACATGAGGGGAAGGTCGCTGATTTTTAGAATCAGGGTTAAAATGTTGTTTAATTTGGATATTTCGTTGTTTTATTACGAAGATTTGCGAAAAAGATCGAAATATAGGGTCCCGACGGAATCCGCTCGTCCCTCGGGTGCGTGTCTCTTCGGCCTTCGAATCTCGCCCTCTTCCACGGTTCCCCGCTTTCTTTTTCCCCACATTCTTTCCTCCCGACACTCCCTCTCATTCCTCGCATCCTTTCCTCTATGAGTCGGGGCAACCGAGTACCCGAACTCTCACTGCAATCCGCGGGTATCCGATCCTCGCTAAATCTAATCTGACCGAAAAACTCGACATCTGACCTGTTTTACCTAAAATCGTGTTCTTAAAACATTGTTTAGTTGAATAACAATTAATGTTCACTTCACCTTCTGGTCTTATATTATGCAGATGGTTGTTTACCTGCTTAAGCTTGACAAGCTCGGGCTCGATCTGAACGTGATAAACCGGAGGGGATTCACGGCACTCGACGTGATCGAGGCCGATGCCAGCAACTCGGGCACTCTTGTGATCTTACCTGCATTGTTAGAAACCGGAGCCAAGAGATGTGATCAATTGCCGCCAGCTGGTTCACCCGAAATCACTCAAGAACTACTCAGCCGTACCGTGCTACCTGTTCACCGGCCAAACGGGTTTCCCAACAGTCCGGCGAAGAATACCCGCCGGAAAAACCACCGGATGACACGCGAGAAGCACATAGAGCTCCAGAACGAAGGGTTGCGTAATGCAAGGAAGACGATCACCGTCGTGGCTGTGTTGATCGCCACGGTAACGTATTCCGGCGGAATAAACCCTCCCGGAGGTTTCAATCAGCAAACGGGGAAAACCCTAATGGGAAAGAAAGTCTCTTTCAAGGTTTTCATGGTCTGCAACATCATAGCCCTCTTCTTATCGCTCAGCATAGTTACGTTCTTGGTTAGCATCATACCATTCAAGAGAAGATCACTGATGAAGCTACTGACCATAACACATAAGGTGATGTGGGTTTCGATGTCGTTCATGGCGGTGGCATATATCGCGGGCGTATGGACGACATTGCCACACGGGCGAGGGACAATATGGGTGTTAGCGACATTGGTTGCTGTCGGAGGAGGATGTACAGTGGCGATATTTGCAGGTCTGGGAGTTCTGACAGCTCGGCATTGGGTAAAGAAATGGGAATGGAGGAGGAAAGTCAAAGATGGAAGCTCTAAAGGCAGCATTAGCAGTCTTGGGGAGATGCAGACGGGAAGAAGAGGAGGAAGCCATGAATCAAGCAACTCAGATATCGATAGCTCTGATCATGGATATCATCTGTATTAAAGATATATATATATATAGGAGTATGTATATGTGTGTGTATCAGTGTATGTATATGTATTCTTTGTGTTTACAGATTTCGATTTCGATCAGAAATATAGACAGTAACACAAAACAGTCAGATAACTTGTACTAGAAACTCTTCATGAAGAATGCAGATAAACTTGCAGTGGCACTGGCAGCATAACCCCCTTGTGAACAAAAAATGAATTCAAGACAAACCTAATTTCGATTAGATTTTAATTTATCTTTTTAATGGTGGGATTAAAAATAAAAAAATAAAAAAATAAAACAACCCGTATTAGTTTATTACAAATGTATGAAAAAAATTCCGGTTGGTTTTCAGGTTTTAATCATGAAAAGATTTATCCAAGAAAATGAAAATAGTAACTATTTTTACCCTTTTAAACATCTTTCATCGATAGTTGCTATTTATTCTTCATGCGACCATCGTTACATATTTTTATTTAAGAAGAATATAATATAATATAATTTCATTTTATTAAATATAATATAACTAATGATATAAATAATTATATTCTAAAATAAATCATACTATTAAACAACTAAAAGAAGTGAAAAATTTTATATTATTGAGAAATCTAAAATTATGATATTTTTTTATTTGAAAAGAATTTGATTAATGTTTGGATATCAAAAAAGATAATGAAAATTTTAAAATCAAGTTTAAAATATTTTGATTGATTTTTTTATTTATATAGAAAATTGAGTTAAAAAATCGTCTTTAACAAATCTAAATTTTTTTAAATTGGTAAAAATGATGAGACTCTTAAAAATTAGTTACAGAAAGTAATTGTAATAAATTATAACTAATTTTTTTTAATAAAATTATGTGCCCTCGAAATTAAGGACCCTATGCAAAAGACCATATCACATTGTCTACTGTAAGGATGGACATGGATCGGATATCCGAGATTTTTGAGATATTCGTATTCGTATCCGATCTGCATAAATATTCGATTTTATTATCCGTATCCGATCCGTAATTTTCGGATATCCGTAACTTCGGATATTCGTAAAAATCACGGATATTTACGGATATCCATATTCGATCTAAAATATTATAAAATTTTAAACTTAAATTAAATTAAAATGTAAATAAAATATATAAACTATTTAAGATAAATGATATTCACAAATTTAAAATTCATAATTTAAACATTCCAAATCAACTCAAATATAAATACAATTATAATCTATCACATACAAATATATTCAAAATTCAAAATTTAAAATTCAAAACAATAAACATAATAAATCTTAATATTCAAAATATTAAAATTATAAACCTCAATATATATAAATTTTTTCTTGAATCACCCTAAAAAACGTGTAAATATTAAACATTTTAAATCTTCATACCAAACTATTCTTATATTTAATAATATTATTACAAAATACGGATCGGATCGGATATATCGGATAATTTAATTTTAATATCCGTATCTGATCTGTATCTGACAAATATCTCCAAATAAATATTCATATCCGATCCGTAAACTTCGGATATCCGAATTTTCGGTTCGGATACGAATCGAATAACAAATCAGTTTGGCTGTTTTGCCCACTCCTACTCTACTGTTGTGTTTTGATAACTCTATTAGCATTACAAATTATGATAACTAGTGATTAACCGAAAAAAAACAGCCAACCCGACAAGAGGTCAACTGTGTGCTGTCTCTATATATATATATATATTATTTTAGAGGGATGGACGACTGTTAGATACGGTGAACTCGACCACACTGGATAATAACTCTTCAGTTCCGGTGCAGCCAGATTTATCCAAAGCGATCCTCGGTACATCTCCGACTTCGTATTCCGTGAACCCTCCCCGCAACGGCGCCTCGCATTCCACGACGGTGCCCATCGCCGGAGACGGAAGTTACGGTGAGGAGGGTGAGATTTGGTGGTGGTTGAGAGAGAAGGTGGAGTCTTTGATGTCATCATAGTCGATGGGTGGGATCTCCAGAGCTTGCAGCCATGGCGGACGCCAGCGCTGATTTCCGGTCCTGGGATGGCCGATCATTTTCCCGGCGAACTGAATCTTTCATTGTTCCTCCGCCATGAAGATACAGGCTGTCATTTGGGGAATCTCAGTGTGTTTCTTGGGTTTGGAGAAAAATAGTGTTTTCGATGTTTCAGAGCATTATCCAAATCTTATTCGCACACCAACTGTTCGACGAAATGAGTCGATTCGTTTTCATAAATTCTTCATTACTTTTGATGATATGCTCGAACTGAGTTTTTGGATTGTATGCAATTTTAAAAGAACTAAAAATGTTATTGAATAGCTTTTTAAAAAATATTCACTCCTCTTCAAAATAATTGTTAAAATAATTGTGGTTATAAGTTATTTTACATTTTTTTTAAAAAAAAATTATATATACCTTTATTTAATAATAAAAACAATGTTATCATTAATAATTTATTAAAATTTAATAAGAATAAAATTAGAAATTATTGTAAAAAAAATCTTGAAAATGTAAAATGATAAATATTTTAAAATATGAAAAATAATCTAAAACTACAAATATTTTGAAACGGATGGAGTATCAATTAAAATTGAATGTCATTGAAATATGTTGTATTTATATCTATTAAATTATGGCGTGACTCCGATTTGTGATTGTAACGATCCGAGGCCGTTACGAATTGTCGAAACTGCCCTCACACAACAACCCGAGACCTTTCAGCGTATTTTATCCTCACTCGCATGCATACCGAGACACTTCCCAGTAGGTCACCCATCCTGAGATTGCTCCAGAGCCAGCACGTTTAACTTTGGAGTTCTCTCGGGATAGTCAACCAAAAAGGTAGGTGCACCTTGTTGCTATGAGTAGCCTAACTAATTCTTTTATGTTATCTTAGACTGCATAGTCCCACACCTATACAGCCCTCGGATCTCTCTCATTCCGGTGTGTTCGATTCATCCTTGTACCCACTACCCAGAAGCTCGTCAGGAGCCGCCCCTTGTCCGTGCCTCTGCACCGGCGATCACTCTCCGCCCTCCTACGGTACTCTAGGTTGTCACAGGCCCACCAGCTTCCGCTTGGTTCGTCCTCGAACCACAACGTACTGGAAGAGTACCGGCTCTGATACCATCTGTAACGACCCGAAGCTGCTACGAATTGTCGAAAATGCCCTACACAGCAACCCGAGACCTTTCAGCGTGTTTTATCCTCACTCGCACGTATACCGAGATACTTCCCAGTAGGTCACCAATCCTGAGATTGCTCAAGAGCCAGCACGCTTAACTTTGGAGTTCTCTCGTGATAGTCAACCAAAAAGGTAGGTGCACCAGTCAACCAAAAAGGTAGGTGCACCTTGTTGCTATGAGTAGCCTAACTAATTCTTTTTATGTTATCTTAGACTGCAATCTTAGACTGCATAGTCCCATACCTATACAGCCCTCGGATCTCTGTCATTCCGGTGTGTTCGATTCATCCTTGTACTCCCTACCCAGAAGTTCGTCAGGAACCGCCCCTTGTCTGTGCCTCTGCACCGACGATCACTCCCCGCCCTCCTACGGTACTCTGGGTTGTCACAGTGATATTTAGAAATCTTTTAAAATGTAGCGTTATTAAAAACATATAATTTTTAAAAAAAATGTTATTTACTAGTTAGTTAACTTAGTTTAGATATATTTTAAAATCCAAACTAGAAGAATTATCTATGTTATTTATATTAATGGGGATTTCGAAAATTTTTACAATAGTTATTTGCAATTAAGAAAAATTCTTAATTTGAGGGGAATCCCCAATCCTAGTGGTTAATGACAACCCCCTCCTCCATGAAGTTGTGGGTTCGAATCCTAGGTATAGTACTCCTTTTGAGCCGGTCAGCTTTTCGAGGCTGGTTTACCTGCTATGCGTAGTTTGCCGGCTACTGCGCAGGGCGGTGGATTTTTTCAAGTCCGCGATGTTGTCTTGATGTCGTTCTCGTCCGGTCCATGGATTGAGAGGCGTTGTGGTGTCCGGTGTCCGATCCGAAGGGTTGTAGGATAGAGATTTCCCAACGTAACCAAAAAAAAATCTCAATTTAACGTAGATTCTAAAACAAAATTTACATCGATAAGCGTCGAATAATCCAACATGGTATTTCGAAATTTTGGTTTTATAAATGGAGATATTATGTGTGGGAGGTTGGGAGAGAGATAAAACAGCCAACCCGACAAGAGGTCAACTGTGTGCTGTCTCTACCCTGTAAAAACCACGGACATTTCTATCCCACTTGTTCGAAATGTCAATGCATACATTATCACTTGTCTCCTTCGCATTTTCAGTACAACAATGTCAATAATATAATAATATCATACATTACATGCATCGCGGAATTCACCTTGTATTCACAACAGAAATGTCATCGAACAATTTCTAAAGTCATACGTAATGTTTTTTAATCATAAAAATAAAAATTTCACTTTTTATAAAAATATAAAAACAAAAAAAAAATTTAATAAACTGAACCAATAAAATTTGAGGTATGATTACTCGAGGGGTTAATGGGTCGACATCGGGGGAAAAGGTGGAGAGTGACATGGCTGTGACTGACAGGCCGATGAATCCGTCACGTGTCGATAAATGAGTAGTCGACAAGGACCGTCACGAAATCTAGTCTCACGATTTTGTTGGGCAGTCGTTTGGGCCCCACTTTCTGTCAGTGATTACTACCACATTCCGGAAGAAGAAATTTATTTTTTTATTTTTCCTTCAATTAACTTTTAATTGGGTGCTCAATAGTCAATGCTTTCCATTTATTTATTGAGATTATTGAAAATTTAATACCAAATTAGCTAGGGGATCATGATGTCCCTTGCCGCATTTCAGTAAAGAGCGTATCAAAATATATTTTACGTTCAAATTATTTGGCAGTAAAAACAAAACAACATAGAATATATGTGAGTTAAAATTATATATAAAATAGATATTCTAACTCAAATCTTTTGTTTTTCGAAACTTGAGAAATAAAAATAACCAAAATATATTTGGATACCAGTTTCATTTAATTTTCATGTATTGTGATAGTGTTTATATCAAAACTTCAAGATAT